TAAATAACCATTCCATTGCATGTTTATCATTTCAGGTCTCGTCATTGCGCACAGGTCGTGCCGGAGCCTGTGTGGTACACGTCAAGAGTGCCTGACTAGAACGCAAGCGCCCCTCTCCCCCTCCCCGTAGTCCAAGTACACGCATATCCGAAGATTACCTACGGAAATACACAAAACAAGCCGAAGCTGCAACATATGCCTTGCGGCGCCATCTGTCAATGCCTGCTGGATTATTTCGGCTAGCACAGAAAAATGGATCAAAGGGAGCGCCTGGAGAGAAGGTGCCGGCCGGGGAAGCCCCGTCCACATTTGCTGAAGATTATGACAATGTTAGTCATGTAAGTCCTAAGATGAAGCACAGGCAAAGTGTACATGCTATCAGTCAAGCCAGTGGTAATGCAACATGCCAAGGTACTGGTAGCCCCAAAACAGGACATAAGTCGCCACCAATATATGAAGATATCTCAACAACTCAGGGTTACGCGCTTAGTAGTTTTAGTAGTGACAATGTCGAGCGCATAGCTCAAAGCGCTCAACGAATCACTGAAGGTGGCAGCACCAGTCCTAGTAAATGGACGGACCAATCAGTGAGGCCAAAAATTGTTTTTGATCCTAAAATGATGAGAAAAGGATCGAGTCATACTCATTCTAAGCAAAGTGGCCAGATTTCACCACAGAAAACTTTGCAGGTTCAAAAGTTATCTGGATCGCCGAAGTCTCCTCGGAGTCCACACATGCAACCGGCTGCTGGTTCAAGCCGACGTGGATCCCAATCAAATAGCCAATCAGGGTCGCCTAATTTGTCCGGAAGCCCACGATCTTCTAGTTCAAGTTCAACACCACCAGGTGGCGCTAGTGCAAATGCGTCACCACAGTCTTCACCTCATCTTGTAAGATATCAGGACACACCACAAAGATCTCATGACCAACCCCATCAACAATCATCAGGGGCGTCACAAAGTAGCACATTGCCAAGACAACGTCATAGAAAAACATCAAAGGTTTCAAAAGATGATAGTCACCTTCAAAATCTTGGTGACTTTTAGATATTCATTTGCAATTTCTGAACCTGTAATAATTTACTGTAACTCTTAATTTCTATGAAAGGAACTGAAGTGAAATTAGAATTCTCCTCGTGAAGTCTGTGTATGTCTCATAAAAACAATCTGGAATTTATTTTGAAAATGTTTGCAGAGCTCATGTTGTAACACTTTTAGCCACTTCGCATTTATAACTGGTCCTTTTGAGTGTATTTTCTTCGACACAGTGTGAAAATATAAAATGATTATGCAACTTTCTCGAAATCTAGCAAACAAATGATTACAAACTACTATAGTAAGGCCAATGTAGCATTTATGGAAAAAAACAATTCTTGTACTTTGCAGTACAATGCTCATTATTCTGCAAATCAAAATAATACTAAGCAAAGAATTTAACTACTACAGCCTTACATGTACATCCATAGGCCCAGGAGCATGTATAGTGGACTCAGAGATTCCGATTGGACAAACTTTGATTTTGCATTAATTATACATGTTCCTGGGCCTATGCTTAGATCAAATAACTTAAGGATACAGAGAAACTAAAATGAACAGTAGTTTTCAATTGAGGAAATCATATCAATATATTATATTTACTTATATTTGATTTAATTTAATTTGTGTACATAATTATTTGGGAGATTTAGTTACATTTAGCTGTTGTGCAAACACTTTTTAGTACCATTTTTAGTACTTGTACTATTTGGTAATACACGCTTGTATTTTTGTCAGACCAGTCCAAATCTGTCCTTTATGGACTATGGAGGTGTCACTTTAGGCCGTGCAGGCTCACCATTCGCCACAATGTGAATACTTTGGGGCAGATGGAGAACGACATGAATACAGAGTGGGCAAAAAATTGTTTTTACCGCGAGTTATCCCTCATCACACCAAATACAAAAATTAATCAAAAAATTTATGCCCTAAATTAGCCACATGATGGTGAATGGTGAGCCTACATGGCTAATGTGACAGCTACTTTAGATGCATTTCACTCCTCATGGATGAATAAATTCTCCCAATGTAGAAATGCGTCAATTAATTCATTTTTACACAGGTCAAACCCTGATATATAGATTTTAATTAATTCCAACTCTGCTGTCATTCATGCCGAGACAATCTTTTGTAAGTTTTAATGTTGTATTTTAGTCGCTTTAAAAAGCTTTAAACGTAATCATCGATGTATTTAAGTCATGAAAGGAGATTCCCATACATGAAAGGGAATTCACATGTCATGATGGGATTTGGCCGTACATGGTGGGGATTGGTATTCCCATAGGCCTACATCCATACATGACGAGGATTTAGCAAACCTTCATTTGTACCCCCCCCCCTCCTTTCTCAAACGACAAACATCCCCTACAAGTTGGGGGGGGGTCCAGAGGCTAAATGTAAGATTAAGCAAGTCGCTACATATTGCAATTGATTCATGTAAGGTCTCACTCCACTAAATGAGTACAACTTTATATAGCGCTCCTTATTCATTTATTGATTTGAGACAATAATACAAATGTAAAACATAATTTAGAAATTGGAAATATAGTCTTATTAACACAAAATGAAATTAGAACTATGAAGAAGTAGAGAAGTATGTCTTTGTGTACATCATTTCTTCACTGCCAAAAACAAGCATTTTTTATTTTTATTTTAAAATATGATGACTTGTGAATCATATGAAATGACATTTGTTTATTGTATGTATTTTACGAAATGACATCTGTACATTGTATGTACTTTATGAACATGAAATATTACTGCGGGTTTGACTCAAAAGAGTTATTTTTGTACATTTACTGATGACTAGTTAGGTATTTGAGAATGATGTAATATGACTGTAGCATAGGTGCGTCATTTTCTGGCATTGGGGTCATGCTTAACATCAGAGTCCAAAGAGCAATTACATATCAACCATTCTTTTTACTAGGATTTTTCTTATCTTGGTGAAAAATTCACTTTTCATTCATACTGACTAGGACATGTCAAAATAGCCTCTTCGGCGGGGGGTGATGGGTGCTCGCAACCCCCCCCCCCCCATAACCAATTAAAATAAAAAAAGGAGAAAGAAGAAGAAAAGAGCTTTAAAATGCTTTTTATTTGAAAAATTCAAATAAATCTTCTTTTTGGGTTGTTTATTCCACAATTGCAACCCCCTGACTGAAAACTGAATTTTTTTTGCTACCGCACCCTCCCCCCTGACTGAATGCTGCCTGAAGAGTGAAATACCATTGGCAAACAGTTGTGCATTTCAAACCCTGCTCTAGGTTATTAATTTGTAGATGTAGGAATATCAGATACTTCAGTCTTCAAGAAAAATAAAGAGTAAGACCAAGTAGCATTTTAGAGTGTACCAAGAGAGACTACAAGAGATTCCATCAAATAGGGATGTATTTGTAAAATAGTTAAAAATGGGGATGTAATTTGTATGTCTGCCTATAAGGAATTGTGTTCAATAGTCAAAAGTTATAGATAATTCATTTAGATTTTGGGTTACACCTACAAGGGAAATACATAATTTTTGGTTCTTTTCCACAAGTGTAAATATATGTTATGTATAAATGGGATTCCTGATTCAAAGTATCTCAGCTCCATGAGTGGCCTCATATCAGTTGCATATACATGTAGCCTCTAGCTTTACTTATAATGACACCTCAAGCAAACTCATGTTACAATGGGGCCTGGTACTCTGTATTGAGGCAGTATTTGGCGCCTTTAAATCCATATATGGACTCATCCATCGCTGGAACTTTCTGGTTGTAATTTATAATGTTCTGTAGCATAGATTTAGTCGCATTTATACTGTACAGTAGTATGAACAAGTCATTTAAATATTTTATGATATTCATTCTTGCCATGAAGTCAGTAGAACTAGTTACAAGCTCTATTATAAAATGTAATAACTACTTTCTGTTTTAAGGAACATATACAGTATATAAACATGAGCATTTTCAGTAAAGGAAGCTAAATGTAGAACTTCATCACTTAAGCCTAATTTTACCATTACATATAAATGTACCATTGCATTTTGTAGAAATTTAGTTAACATTTCATCACAATTTGGGAAGTTTGTCATGTAAGATAAAATATATTTGTTCTCTTATACTTATTGATTTGTTGATCAGCTATGGATGTTCCATTTTCGTTTCAAATTAACTACACTACAACATGTATAATTATTTGGCAACCCAAAGTCCCAGAAAAAATCAAGTTTTTTCTGAATATTAATTTCTCATTACATTAGATCTGTAATTCATGACTGAATTTTTTAAAATCACCAATCAGAATTTTTAACTCATGGTCAAAAAGGGACTTCTGGTTACCAAACTTTTGTACAGAAGTGTAATAAAAATTCCACACTTGGTATGTCTGTATATGCCATTTTGAAATTCATTGATTTTTATTTAAGACAATAGTATTTGTCTACAAATTGTATGTAATTATAAATGAGACAATGAAATATAATTTTGTATATTTAACAAAATATGTATGTATTGTATTTATTATCTGTATTATCTTTATTTTGGTTTGTTATATTTTGAGCGCCCCCTCCCCCCTCTAATTAGTTTTTTCACTGCTGTGTATTTTTCATCGAATTTGAGCATAAACAAGAAAATTAAACATTCAGGCCCCTAGCCAGCTTTTACCAAGGGGGTTTACTTTTCATAAAATTCCAGGGGGTTCTCATTTGACAACTTTGGGCCAATAACACTTGAAAAGTGCTCAGAATGTTGAAAACTACATGATTTTGAAAGAATTTTTGGACAAAGGGGGGGGGGTGCTTGCTCCCTCTGAAATCACCCTGGCTATGGACCTGCCAATGAGATAAAGTTAAATGAACCAATCTTTGATCTTTTTACAAAATTACTTGTGAGATATAGAAATAACTTTATTTTTTCCAAATGTAGCTCAGTTCAGAGCCAAAAGTATACTTCAACAAAACGGGAACATTTTATATTACAAAAATATAGTTTATTTTATTCAAAATGTACATTTGTACAATAATTATAACAATAATATCACCATTATTCATATTCAATTATTGCCTTTTTGGATTGTGATAAAAAAGTTTTTTTTGACCGACAAAAGGGACAATTGGTGTCAATCAATCATGTGAGAAAATTGAAGTAAAATACTAAAATGTTGATATGTTCGATTTATATTAAAAGTGATTGTTAGTTATAAATGAGATTTAAGAGAAACATAATTTTACTCTTTCTCAGTCACTCATATAAAGTTTCATGATTTCGCTTTCTTTCTATACAGATGGAAATGTTCATTTGATCCTTATTATCATAAATTCCTTCTTAGATTATCATATTTTCCTCGCCTTTTACGTTTAATCATTTAACACTGACCATCTTGAGATTCTACTCTTTTTTAGTATCACCAGTTTTTCTAATGTTCAATTTCTTCAGTTTGGCTTGTTCTGCTTCCAGTCTTTCTTGTTCCTCTTTCGCAGCTTTTTCCTGGAAGTCTTTTACACGTTCAAGAAACTGAAATAGAAATTATGAGAAATTTATGAGATGGTTCATTTTGAGTGTGCAAATATGATACACAGGTGACATGCCCTTAGCAAAATTACTTTCAAAATCATGCAGTTTTTCACCATTATGAGCATTTTTCAAGTGATGTTAGGCCAAAGTTGTTAAATGGGAGCCCCCTGGAATTTTTTGAAAAGTGAAACCCCTTGGCAAAAGCTAGATATCTGATACAATCTACATTCACCGATCAGATGAGGTAAAATTTTTGAGATGAATGAAAAATTTTGGACCTTGAAAATGTTGCAAAAATGATGAGATGCATAGTAAATGATTTAGTTATTGTTATAAAAAAATAGATATTTACCTCAGGTCTCCTTGTATTTTTCTTACTTATAAACTCCATAAAGGACTTGGCTCCATGCATGGGTGCCAGCTCACTATCCTGTTAACAAAAGCATAAATGTAAATTAATATTTAGAGCCTAATTTAAGGGTAATGCCCTTCATACAGGGTGGGCCAAAAAATGTTCAAGTGTGCCAAATATGACTTGAAACTACTGGATGACTAAGTTATCATGATTTGCTTGGGTTACCTTTTTGGCTCAACCTGCAGAGCTTATCAAACCTAGAATTTTCCGAAGTAGACTGGTTAAAAAAACTGAGCAATACTGTCATTACTTTACAATGAGTTCGTCCAACCACAAGTAAAGCATTAAGAGAAACTATAAAAGATCAAGATGCAGAAATATCTCAATTCTTCCGAATAAAAAAATTCCTAATGAACATTGTTTTATTTTGCATTGAATCATTACAAATATTATAGTCTTGCATAGATTCACTGGTCTCACCCACCAAATATCTATTACATATCTAACAAAGAATACAAAATGAATACAGGATGGGGACTTGATGCGAGACCAATCAACAGAAATTGAAGTGTTTGAACTCTGATAAAATAAGGTTTGCAATGTAATCTCATCATATCTACCATGCAATAGTTACTGACATTCGTAAAATAGTGAAAATGCAAAATAATTTATTGCCAAATTAATCCAATTTGCAGTTAATCACACTTACCAGAGCCAAACTCTTTGTCTTCGCCTCAGAAACCTGTTGATTTTTAAGTTCTTTGGGGTCTTGAAGGGGTTCATCTGCTTCCCGTTTCTTCCAAGTCTTGGGTTGCAGATACCATGCTCCATATTTAAACTTTGCCCAACTTGGTACATAGTTTCCTGAGTGAGTCTGGATATCAAAAAACAAAAACATTGTAATAAAAATATTTTAATTCCAATGATTGACAGTCTACAATATGACAAAGAAAACGATATATAGAGACCTATATTTCTTATACTTCATTTTTTCAGCCTTATTTCTATGTTTAATACACTAATAAAAATCAATGATAATTATGTTATCACATGAAATATTGAAGTATCATTCTTAATTCATTCTTAACTTTATAGCAACAAAGATTAATTTTTGACATACCCAATCTTCTTTCTTTTCTTCTTGAGTAGGAATACTTTTAGCTTGTTGTTGTTGTTGTGGTACGACTGCCGACATTCTTAATTCTGGAGGGACATTCGTTAATTCAACAACGTGGATCGGCACTGATAATGCTGGTTTAGTCTCATATCCACTAGCAAATAAACTTGTTATTGTGCTTTCTTCAATGTTATTGCTATCACCCCCCAAACTAGCGACCCAGTCGCAAAAGTCTTTTGTTACAGTTTTTATATGTTCATCTTGTGATGGAGAATTGGAACGTTTTTCTAAAACTTTCTTTTTTTCTTTTTTGTCTTTTTCTTCTTTCCGCGGTAGCCATTTGTAAGGATTCCTAATTCGCCCAGTATCCTCTCTGAAAAGTTTCCAGGAAAGAAAATGTATTGTTGATACAATTGTACATTTGTCATACATATTAGCACACATGCAGAATATGAAGTGAGAAAATACACTTCACTAAATTTTCTGCCTATATATTCTGTAAGTAGATGATATTCATCATACACTTTAACTTCTGTGAATGAAATCTACATCTGAGATTTAAGATAATTAAGATCAATCATCAAATTTTTAATTTACTTTGAGTAGTCAGAGGGGACTGTGGATAGCTAACTGGACAGGGTAGTGAATGCACTTACTCTGTGGTTTCTTTGTCCATTTTTTGTGATAATTTACTTGGAGTTGATGATCCTGAACTTATTTCACTTTCTAAATCTTCTAGTGATTCTTCCCCATCTGATGCAAGGTTCATCTCAGGGTCAAGTATGTCAACTACATCTTCAAACACCTAGATGAACACAAAAAATATAAATCACATTTTTTCTCAAATTCAGATTGAGTTAATTTTCATAGTTTGAGATATATTTCAAGTCATATTTACCATTGGCAGTTGGATGTAGAGTTTAGATATTTACATCATTGGTTTTCAAAATAACTGCCAATAATTTTTTGTTGTTTTTACTTTAAAGAATGGAATACTATTTTTATTAAAAAGTGTATCCTACTTTTGATGTCTTATCACTTCCTGATGTAAGCCTCAATCTAATCTTATTATATATTTCTATGACAATGATACCTTTATGATGTCACCATATATTTATTGAAACAGTCCTATGAGTACATCTAGTTCTACATGGTGATGCAGAAAAATGGGACATCTAGTTTATTTGAAACATAGAACAAATCCTACGCTAAGGGCTGATGTGAAAAAGTCACTCCACCTCGGTGGGTTTGTTTCAAATGAATATTATATGAGGGACCCTAAGTAAGCATTGAAAATGTACTTACATCTGGTGGCATGCACTCTTCTAAATGTGGGTATAGGGCTAGAGGATGCTGGGTAAGACCATACTCTATTTCATCTATATGATCACGTCTCTGAAGTTGAAGGGGAGTAACTCTAGAGTAACAGATCTCATGTTTATCAAATCTTTTCCTCATAACAGGTTCTTTCACTTGAGACATACTGTCACTGCTACCTTGTATGTTTGGCGATGGGCCTTTGTTGGGCTGGAATGAACAGAAAAGTACATGTATGTAAATTTTACGAAGGAATGTACATGTTGTAGGTGAGATAAATGATGGTTTAGGGATTAGTTGCATGTTTAGAGTAAACCATCTCATCGTTTTAATCAGTTTGAAATTGGAGATTTATCTTGTGCCCCTACCTTTATAATAATGCCATCGCTTGCACTAGGTGGTAATCCGTCTCGAAAATCATCAAGTCCATCTTTTATAAATGTCCAGTTTTTTCCAACAAGCATTTTTGATACATCGGTAGGTTTCTTTGATTTGATGTAATTAGTTTTAATCCTTTCTTTATACCTGCAAATAAAAAAAGATTTCCACTGGATTGCTGTTTATGTGTTAAATATAAATGTTAATTTAAAATTACTGATCTGCCACTATAAAACTAAAATCCTCTAAGATTCCTTATAATTTCAATTTCTATGGGTGATCATCTACATGTATGATACCGGAGCTACACTGTAGATGTCCTACATACATTTATGTCCCAGCAAGCACTTTCTCAAGAAAATGGATATGCGGTTTACTTGGACTCGCCCAAAACGAGGGGTGTCAAACGCAAGATGGTAGAGATGCAGACATGTCGCCACTCTCAGAGAATCTATTCCATAATTCCATAATTTCAACATTACTACGCGGTTTTACAAGCGAAAAAGATAAGGGCAGGTTGTATATAGGACTGGACAAGATGAAAATAAATATTCTAAATAGATGACACCCCTTTCGAAATAAGATGAACTGAACCTATCACGTCACCGATTTCTTAGAAGAAATTACGTCAGAAAAACAAAAGCTCCGTAGAGAATTTTCGCTTGAAATGTTGAAAAGCAAGCCCAGTTTTCTATGGGAATATACAGTAATTAACAGTTACGTGTACAATATTACCGAGTTCGATGGTGCATAAGTTAGGCGGTGGATCATTTTGTAAGTACGACAATGTGAATTAATGCGACTGTTACTTTTTGGAAGGTTTTTTGCAAAAAAGTCGAGTGACATTTTAGCTGGCGAAGAACTTAGTTTCGATTAAGAGAAGTGCATTCACTCATACAAAACTATCAAACTATTACCACGAGAAAGCCAATGATTTCATTTCAATTTGGAGTCAGCCAATTTCATTTTTCAATGAAAGGTAGGCTAGCCAAGTAGCCAAACAGTCGAATCAGTGGAACCAGAGACATAAAAAACATTTTTATGTCTCTGGTCACTGGTGGAACTGGAAAATCCTGATTTTATTGATTCACAATTACTCACCATGGTTGCTGTTGAATGTTCTTTTCTGCCTTTGTATTGACAAGCAACAGATCATACTTTGATTCTGCCATTGTAAATTAATCTAAATATCCTCAACAGGCGATTCAAACACGTTTACCTATCAAATTTGTGTAAAATTAAAAATGAGAAATAATGTTTACACCGATTTACGATCTTTATAAATACATCCGCTGCTTAATATAATTCTATAACTCCATCATTTCACACTGACTTCAGTTTCTAAAAGACAGAAATAGCAGGTTTAGTAAACAATTCATTCTTATAATATAGCTAATAAGAAAGAGTGCTGAAAACAGGGGGAAACTACTCATATGCTGTGTTGCGGATGAATAAAGTTGCTACTGACAACGAAGAACTATTTTCTTAAGTCGTTATTTTATACGGCACTTTAGATATTTTGCACAAAATTTTGCACTCAGATTTCACTATATTGTTGAACAAAATAGTTTGACAGTATTTACTGTATATAATCATTTTTTTCTCTTTCAAGATATTATGAAATAACGACATATAAAAATCTGACTGACAGAAATATTACTCCGCAAATAGTTCTTTATAGTTTTGCTTTTTTCAATTAATTACTTCGTCTCTTACATATAATTAGTATTTTTTCCGATTCGCCTACTAGTTGTGTAGAAGGTTATTATAATGAAACACTCTATAAATCTCTATATATAAACTCGAAAACTTATTTTGCCGATCGCGGAAGAAGATAATTTTAGTGCTCTTCGGTCATTTTTTATTTCAGATTTGTCAACGGAGGCATATAATTTCATCATTAACATCTAGTTTGCCCTTACTGATCACCCCCGTTCACGTTTAAAAATCTGCAATGGCTGTTTCTGTGTCTGATGCAGAAGTCGATGCGAAAATTAATGAATGGCTTAGATTTGACAAGGTAAGACACCAGACAGAATCATTTTTTGTTGTTGAAATAAAATCAAATGATTCACAATTCCTCATTGGGATCAAACTGTACGACTAAACTGGTGTTAGATAAGATGGCACTTTCATGCCTACTTTCATGCTGGTCAGGAAACAAGTGTGCAGGTAGGGTAATTTCGGGTCAGGTCAGAAGAAAACACGAACTCCCGTGCAGTGATATATCACTGCGGCCGGCAGGTATCTCACCGTAAGCATGGTAACTTCGTAATAAACAACTGACGTGATTGGTTCTAGTCCCATGCTCAGATCGCGTGATTGTAAAATTTAGACAATTTCATTGGTTGAATTGCGCGTATTAACTAATTAACTTCTCATATTTCAATAATTTTGAAGTATTCTGACAAAATAATGTTTGGGGAACATTCATGAATACATATTTTATAAGTTGTGTGAAAATTGACCACATATGCGATGAAAAGGGGAACTATTTTTCCAAATTTTGGGGATTTGCTTCATCTGCCCGCCGCAGCGTCTATACCGAGACACTTCATTGGAGTTCGAAGAAAACAGAAGAATGAATTTGACTTAATTGTCGAACTATCTTAGTTTTTAATGACATATTTTGATAACATCATTATTGCATATTATGCTTTGATAAAGAAAATGATAGAAACTTATGATTAAATTGTTTAGGAAGAACCATAAATTATTTTCCATTCGTAATTTATATGTAAAGATATAGGCCAGCTAGAAGTTGTTTTTGCCGGGAATATAAAGCATTTAACGATAATGTATGATATTCCTGAGTGTTCTGACCTGACCCGAAAATGGTAAGTAGTCGACTTTGTGTCAGTGTGACACCTCTGATCTTCAGTATCTAAATCACAAGGTGCAAGGCTAAAAAATATTAGTGGTGCAAGTCACGGGAAAATGTGGGTTCAACTTGAATATGAAATCTAATTTTTGCACAAATTAATGAAGAAAATTGTACAAATTCAGTTCCAATACAGTTTCAGTGCTTTAATTTACACAAAGATCTAGATTAGGTTGCTATAATCTTTAGATAGACAGCTCTCTTAATTGACATCACACTTACATGATATTTTGTATTTCTTCTGCGAACATCCAGATTTGTTGTAATTATGTTTGCTGTACAATTTATTGAAATTGAAGTTACCAAGTCGTGATTATGGACACTGGAGTCGAAATGATTACTCTAGACCCTTAGTGCGTCAATAACGCAACTCTATAACAAAATTTCTGCACCACTAAATAAACCTTTATGAATGAATAAATTATTTTTCCAGAATGAACAAACCAGAGGAGAAATCCTCAGACTGGTGGAGGCAAAAAATGTCAATGAATTACGAAGCAGATTGTGCAATAGAATGGCATTTGGCACAGCAGGTAATTTTCTTTTTTTTCAAGTTATAAATGCAATACATTTCATATACAAGTCTCATATAATTCTAAAGTCATTTCATCTGGATATATGTACTATAATATACACAAATTTTTATAACATGATCATACTGATTCTATTTTCATGATTTTCTTCAGATAAAGATCTTAAAAAAGTAAGTCATAATGCCATGTTGCTTGACCTTTGTTTCCTTGTTTGTTCATTGTTTTAAAATGAGAATATTGATTAATAAATGAGACAGAATTCACTGCAATCATTGTATATGCTTATTTTACAGGCTTACGGGCTAGAATGGGTGCTGGATATTCTATGATGAATGACTTAACCATTATACAGACTGCACAGGTAAATTGAATTATGAAAGATAAGATTAAATTCTCTTATATGTTAAGTTGGCAGATAGACTATTCACTATATATTGTAGAATGTAAGAGCAGACGGTTTATATGATATACTGAACTCCGGGTATTGTTCGCGTGCGATTTAATTTCGCTTTGTTCGCGAACATTTATCGTCGCGAAATTTGTCTTTTAAATCCCCGGGGATTTGACCCAGGACTTTTGATATGTTTCGTTCGGTGTAAAACGTTTCATCCAGTGTTTTTGAGTGATAATTAACATGGGGTATTGTTCAATTTTATATCAACATTTGAATGATGTACTTGCTAAGCTCATGCATATGTAAAAGGCATGTAAGAATATTAATATTATCAATATGGAGTTTACGGAGCTGGAGGAAAAAATTCAACTTGTGCAATCCGCGAAATGTCATCAACTCAAATCCGCGAAATTAAATAGCCGCGAAATTGCAATTTTAAAAAATCGCGAAATTTTATAGCGTCAAAATTTACCAGGACTACAGTAACAATTTATTAACATAACGTAAATTATGTTATTGAACATTAAAATAATTTACCCCAGATGAGCATGGTTGATATATTTTGTTTAAAATGTATTAAAGTTCTATACATATTCCATATATTGAAATATGGAGGTTAAAAGTTGTTGAACAAAAACTTAATACTAGAGGTGTCACGGGTCAGATATTCTTCCGGTTGGGTCGGGCTACAAAAAAAGTTCGTGGGTCGGGTAATTTCGAGTCAGGTCACGAGAAAACAAAAAAATGAATTTAGTACTAGGACTGAAACGACTGGGTGAATACACGGCACATTATAAGACTGTTTAAGCCTGCATTACTGCATATTATACTTTGATAAAGGAAAAATGATAGAAACTTGGCATTAAGGTGGGACCTGGTCCGTCAGCCAAAAAAAATCCTCGATAGATTTTCCTGAAAATCGCACAGTGTATGTAAACAAGTGGTGTACATATGCTGTAGAAATTTTAAACAGAAAAAAATAAGTTGAGATATAGTAAGTAAGGTTCAAAGATTGTATTTTTGAGGACCCTATACTGCTTAAATTGTCATATTTAATATGCAATCCTATGGGAAAACAAGACATTTACTTTACCCTCAGATAGATTTTTTTTAAAGGACGATTCTCGGTTTGGAGAATAGTCTACTGGGCTAATAATTTTTTTCATGAAAAATATAGAAATATTACCCAAATTAAACTATGAATATTCAAAAGAGGACATTTAAATCTACAAGATGTAAAAATAACAAATTGGTCTGAAGCAGGGATAACGCTCAATTAGACAGATTCAATAAAATACAAGTCTCGATTTGGGGAAAGAAGTTCATCAGTGTACTGCGCTAATATTTTTTTGCGAAAAATCTAGAAATATTACCCAAATTAAATTATGACTATTCAAAAGAAGACATTCAAATCTATATTATGTAAAAAAAATCAAATTTGTCCAAAGCAGGAATAATGCTCATTTAGATTGATGAACTTCGTTCTCCAAACCAAGAATCGTCCTTTCAACATTTATTTATTTGGAATATGAGTATGCTTATGTTAGTTTTTTTGAGAAAATACCGGCATCCAATTCCATCCGTTGGCGGAGAGAACAATTGAATTACTTCATAAATTTCTCACCTGAATGATCCGACAAAGATAAAGAATTCCCAGATAATGGGGTTTAGCCTTGCTAAATCAAATGTAGTTAGTTGATTTTGAATATATAGTCAATCGGTATGAATTACTACCACTAAAGTTAGCATCACACAGTCTTTGAGAATCAAGGACGTCTATAGGCGTCTAATAGGATTTTATTAGTACTGATGCCCTTTTAGGGCCAAACGTACATCCAATATACAATTTTCAATAACAGTAAATATAGGCAATAAAGTAAAGAAAATAGGATTACATTCTTCAAATGACATATAAAATGTTACTTTGATATAAGAATCCTGTCTCTACCCATCATTAGATACTTTATCATGTCAGCAGATTCTTTTAATATGATCCCCTCACTCGTCAATAGAAAAATTGTCTCATATGTGGTATGATCGTCATTATTGAATGACAAAATAAATAGCATGATCAGGATGTACCCAATGTCTGAGGCAACAAGTACGATGGTTGTGTTCACTGAATGAGTACACAAGTTACATTGAACAGTCAAGTCGAGTAACTAAGTCAACATTCGAAATTAAAAATCTCAAAACTCGTACATCTTTGATTTCCAAAATAATTTGTGAGGTGGTTATTTCGATGATAATACACATTTTAACGTATTAATTTTGAGTACATCTCGAATCCATTCTCAACAAAGCATTCTCGAAATAAGCTCCTTAACAAATTCCTTTGGGAACAAGATATAAAATCAAAAACATATTCTTCTTAGTTACTTCCTGACACATGCCAACGAATATTACATAAGTAAATTTCTCCGTTTTAAATAATTTTGTAAATGTTGTTCTCTACAGGTGCCATTTTTTATAATTGAAAAACAAAATTGAACATTTTGCATTTCTAAATTGATAAGTTTCTTGGAATACAACTTAACCGTTAACCATCTTTAGTCATTGTGTGCTCTTTGGAGTGATTATATTGTATTGTGAATTTCACAAAAGCCGATACAAAATTTCCATAGGCTAATAAAATGTTGATCTACTACATCTACAGACCAGAGGAGGAACAAAATAAGGTAACGATTGTCTATTCAATAAAATATGTATTAATCGAAATACAGAAGTAAGACAGTTTCAACACTATCAAGCACACATTCAGTCTTATACTGTAAGGGCTCGTAAGTTCAGATTTTCACTTTTAAAAATATTAAATGGACCATTTGGCATTAGACCAAAAGATATGTGTGTTCACTGTTCATTAACTCAGACTGACAGTAGGGGTTTAGTCGTTCATTTGAATGCTAAGGTAAGGAGTGATATTACACATTCCTACCATTCCTTCCTATTAATCTAAAAATGTAGACCACCCTTAAGAAAACCATAGGCTCACTGTGTGAGCCAAAAACCATGCTTTCCATGGAAATTACCAGTATTCCATGGTAAATACTGGTATTCCATGGAAATAACCATGGAAAACCATGAAATTTTCCATGGTAATAACGGTATTTCATGGAAAAAAAACAATGGAATTGTCCATGGCATTTACCATGAAATACTGGTTCTCCATGATTTTTGGTCATGACATATCTTGGTCAGGGATCTGCATTATAACATCAACCAATCAACCATTTTATTTATATTAAAAACCTGGGATATAAAGTTGCTAAAATATATCAAATTATTTATACATGTATATTTCTGATCAAATATTCAATGAAAACTTGGAACACCAAATCCATGCCTTCAAAATGTAATCAAGTCCATGTTTTTTGCAATCAAACCCCATGCTTTTCTGGTAAAATATACAGTGAAACCTGGTTTTCTGGTTATTTGTCCAGTGAAACCTGTATATCAGAACACCTGGCTAGACCATGCTCTCCTGAGAATGTAATCAAGTCCCATGGTTTGTACTTCTTTAAACTTAATGATAGTATCAGATCTAGTGAGCAGCCTTAGGGCAAAAATTATTTCAAGCTTCAGATGTAGCGAGCAAACCTAGACAAAAAAATTGTCTCAATTTTAAGATATTTTGGGCTAATATCTTGTCTTTTTTCTAAAATTCCCAAAACTTGGGAACAGTACTTCATATTTCAGTTCACGGGTTTCACTGGACAAATTAGAAATCAACTCCATGCATGTTACAAAGTAATAAAACGAACAAAAGTCATTTTTGAATTTATTAAACATAAATACAGAGTAATACATATTTACAAATATAAATAGTGCGACAAGAAACATAATATTATTTTGAGCAACATTAAATGTGACGTGTCGGTAACCATGTACGAAGTGATCAGGACTCAACTAGTGTTTATATCACATGATATTTTTTTTCATATGCTGTAAATGTAGAACAAACAAACTATGTGCTTTAGATTTATTAGTTTTACTATATTTTGAAAGAATTATAATAATATGGCTTAGAAAAATTCAATCATTCATAGCCATATACTTCACGATGCTGCACATAAAATTTGAGCGCCATCGTTTTCCCATGTCATAAAAACCATGACGTTACTAGCGCTCAAATATTTCAAATGCAATATGCTAAATCTCCCAACTATAAATGCCCGAAGATGCAGATATTTCTTCGTACATGAATATTTAAATACATTTGTATTATTATAACATCATAATTATTCGTATTGATGGGTGTCTTTAAGTTTGAAAAACTACATTAATAATTAAGCAATAGTATCGTGCTGGGTATGCTGACGGACCGGGTCCCACCTTAAATTGTAAGAGAAGAACTGTAAATTATTTTCTTTTAGTAATTTATACGTATACAAGAAATATCCTAGCTAGAAGTTTGAAATTATTGCTGGGAATATAAAGCATTTTACGATAATTCCTGAGTGTTCTGACCTGACCCGAAATTGGTAAGTAGTTTGTGACCCGAGCCGAGCCTTCTGACCTGAGATTTGGGTCGACTTCGGGTCGGTGTGACACTTCTACTAAATACTTATATATGTTTGTTTTTTAAGGGTCTTGCCAAATATTTGCTAAAGACATGTGAAGGGGTGAAGAAAAAAGGCATTGTGATTGGTTACGATGCAAGGCACAATAGTCAGAAGTAAGTAGCAAGTTATTTTACTGTTTATTTCCACTATATTTTAGCATGTTGAGAGAGAATTACAGTAAAACCTGTATATCCAAACACCTCTCTTATCTGAGAACCTCTCAATGTGAAAACTTTGGTCCCATTTTTTTATCTTTTAATAAACATCCATATTAGCAAACATTTAAATGTGAATGCCTGACAATCCAAACACTTTTGAACCGTCCCAATGGTGTTTCGAATAAATAGGTTTTACTGTATTGATTTTCTAAGTGACAAAGTATGTATGTTGAGCAGATGCAAGCAAACATCTGTCACAAGCATAGTTAATTATTTAAAGAGAGAGTTGTTTGTGAACGTTTCTGAGTTTCAACAGGATGGTACATGATTTTCAGGTTTTTAGTGTAGTGTAGCACCCGATTGCTCTTCTGCTCTAATACTTCCATTTTTGAATAGACATGTATACTAGTTATCTCCCCATGTCACTTTTACTGAGTCCCCCCCCCTACTTGAAACCAAAGGTCACCCAGTTGGCACCCTGCACTCCAACTTCTGATTTGAAAAATGAGTGAATTCAGCAGGCACCTGGAGAAAGCCTGAGCGTAGCGAGCACTGATTATTTAAGACTTGAAATATTGCACCCAGTTGGAATTTTTTTTTGGGAGAACACTGTATACTGAACAGAAAATATCGAACTAATTGGTATGAGAATATACCTCTCATATTACCTCCAATTATCATTACAGGTGGGGTCAGATTTCTGCTGGTGTGATGTTGAATGAAGGCATTCCTGTTTACCTATTCTCTAGCATTACCCCAACCCCATTTGTGGTAAGTTAGTATTTATGGAAGTCTTGCACCAATTCTCCTTAGAGTTTAGGGCTAATGTGTCAAACTCTAGAATGGTTTAATTAGTAAGAATGTATGTAAGAAACAGTACACTTCATTTCAGTTGATGAAGAAAGTTGAGGAATATATCATTCTGAAAGCTTAATTCAGCCGATCCAACACTTTTTTAAGATTCCATTGATCTCCCCAGCATTCTATAGCAAGTGCGCACTGCATCCACTTGAAGTTTAATAAAAGGCTCCCACCTGAGATTTCATTTGCACCCACTTGGAAATGAGAAAAATCATGAAAAGTTTTGCATGTTTTGACCAAATCTGGTCTAAATTGTCTAAATAAGATTTTGCATCCAATTGAGAAAAAATCCTCGGGATTCTGATATTTATATTCATATTTTATATTTGTATCCCTTAGAGGCAGAGTTTATCCATTCTATAATTTAGACAATTTTGATTTTGTTAATGTTCTGTTCAACAGCCATACAGTGTTGTCAAATATGGATGTTCCTGTGGTGTCATGGTTACGGCATCCCACAATCCCAAAGAAGACAATGGGTACAAAGTCTACTGGGAAAATGGTGCTCAGGTAAACAGTATTTTCAAGATAATCTAAATAAACAAAATATTTACAAGAACACATACAATGTTTTAGATTGAAATTTAAATAAGACAATATTATATCTAAGTGAAGAAAGTTACCAGAATATTCAACTATCAATCGAAAAACAACAACATGATACTAAGTTTGTGTAACGTTTCAAAAAATTGAATTTTTGCAAAAGCATCTGAATCCCTTTTCAATTTTTGGTGAATAAATGTGCCTAAATTTCTAGAATGGTTTTTAAAATAAACAATCCATATTTATTTGAAAGCTTTATGTACAATTTTAGATCATCCCACCTCATGATAAAGGAATATCGACAAGTATTATTGAGAATCTTACACCACTAGATGCATCTTGGGTAATTGATTCAGTTCTGACAAACCCACTTTTGAAAGACCCCTTAGCAGAGACATCAGCTGCATATTTTGAAGATGTCAAATCATTATGCCACCATAGGTAGGATACAGTATACTTGCTAATTATTAGAGTATGGTTAATTTATCGTTTTCAACAAATTAAAGTCTGGTAATGAGATATTGCATAGTTTCCACACACAGTCAAAATCTGACTCAGAAATTATAAAAATTACAGACTCAGCACTTTTGAGCCTGATTCGTAACCTGTCACCAATTTTTTTATATTTACGGGTGTCCTATAAGGATCCAATGATTTGAATCTAGTTAGTTTGGATACAATGAGAGTTGTCTGTAGGACTAATAAGTAAAAAAGAAGTGTTGAGACTATAACATAATGTTATAGTCTCTAACTTTTTGTGGACAGCATGAAGCAGTTGGTGTTTGGCGGTTGGCATTCTGTCTCTATAAAAAAGGCAGGCTGTGACATTTTGCATGTTCTTGCCTTCTTTTTATCGTACCTAACAAAAGGTACGATATTGTAGTCAGCTTGACGGGCGGGTGGCGGGCGGCGTCTCACTTTTCAGCTTGTCTACAGGTTTCCAGCCAAACCATTTCAGGGATTCATCTGAAATTTTCAGGGATGTTTCTACATATCAACGTCAAGAACTGATTAGTTTTTGGGCATTCTGGGTAAATCTTAAGGTGGCCATTTTGGATTTCCGTCCTAAAATCTTCACTTTCAAGACTTGTCTACAGGTTTCCAGCCAAACCATTTGAGGGATTCATCTGAAATTTTCAGGGATGTTTCTACATATCAACGTCAAGAACTGATTAGTTTTTGGGCATTCTGGGTAAATCTTAAGGTGGCCATTTTGGATTTTCCGTCCTAAAATCTTCACTTTCAAGACTTGTCTACAGGTTTCCAGCCAAACCATTTGAGGGATTCATCTGAAATTTTCAGGGATGTTTCTACATATCAACGTCAAGAACTGATTAGTTTTTGGGCATTCTGGGTAAATCTTAAGGTGGCCATCTTGGATTTTCCGTCCTAAAATCTTCATTTTCAAGACTTGTCTAAACCATTTGAGGGATTCATCTGGAATTTTCAGGGATGTTTCTACATATCAACGTCAAGAACTGATTAGTTTTTGGCCATTCTGGGTAAATCTTAAGGTGGCCATTTTGGATTTTCCGTCCTAAGACTTTCACTTTCAAGACTTGTTTACAGGTTTCCAGCCAAACCATTTAGTCCGGATGTGAAGTGCCATATTTTAAGTGAAGGTGGAAATGCTTATTATATGAACTTTTTTTGCATTTTCTGTTTAAACATGATATCCATATTCAGAAACTGTTGGATGCCCAACGGGCATCCTTGAGGATTTTTTTGGCGGCCATTTTGAATTTTCACGCGTTTTATGTATTTTAACCAGCATATTAGAACAGAAAACTAGCATACACATAAACAAATCTTGCTGTTTTTTTTCTATAATAGAGTTTTAATATGATGTATACCAAAATGTTAGGTTCCAGAAATGTTTCTTGACAAAAATAAAAAAATTCAAGATGGCCACCAACCTTACAATTTATGAAATGTCTCATTCTGTGATAATATCAAATTGATATTAGTGTTTCCTACAAAATTATCAATAAATAATACTAAATACATCTGATTATGATCTCTTTCTCACATATAAAATATCTGAAATGAGTAAAAAGTAACCTACATAATAATAATGATGTTCCACAAGGGTCATTTCTTGGTGCTATATATCTTGAATTTATGAGTTATCTTCTTTTACTAAGATTTCATCAAGGATTTCCCTCAATAAATCCCCATCAGTTTCTTCCAATTCCTGTTCAGTTACTGTCTTTGTATGTTGGTTATTGCATTCATTCCCCTTGCAAACACAGAACAATGTACATGATAAAGATGCCTTGGAGCATGAACATCGCCCAGTTCTACATACATTGCCCTCTAATGCACATGTGCACTTAATGAGCTGGAGAATTCCTTCAGGGGCACAGGGTGTATCTTTGGGCATTGTTGTTGGGACAAGTGAGCCTGTGCTGTTAATTTCCCAACCATAATCTGTTGGAAGGATAAGTGGGGGGTCAGGCATATCAGCATTTTTCCATATAGTTACTTGGAAATGAGCTCGCTTCACATGCTGGGAAAATGCTTATGTTGTTGTTGGGAGGGATTTTAGCTTTGGTGCATTTGTAATGTGTTTTGCAGCATTTTCTTTGCCCATACAGCATATCTCACACCAGACATTTTGTCTGTGACTTTAGGTGTAATTCCATAACATCTAGAAACAAATTCTGTTGGAGTTTTCTCAACTTCAGTCATGTCTGCATTGACATCTCCCAAGTTAGTGAGTGAGTATCTATTTAACACCTTCAGGACTGTTAGCTTGCCAATTCCATGCATGCAAGATGTCATATCACTGCCAGAGAGACCATGCGCAGCTAACAAGTTTGGGATTTTTAATTTGTGTTCATTTACGGTTGCATTAATGTTAATGTTTGCTCAGCCAGATGATGTTCCCTCCATTATGATGCTATTTTCCATTAATTTGTGCTTGAGACAGTGATGAATAAGTAGAAGGAAAACATCAGTATCATCACTGAGTACACTGATATTCTGTTGGCCTTTACTGGCAGCATGCAGAACCTGGTGTACGATAGCAACATCTGCTTCTTCTTGAGTGTTCCTAAGTCATCACGTTCGTCAATATTGCCTTTGTGAATTTGTACAGGTGTTGGATGGTCGATGACACATTTTATCAACTGGATCTTGTTCTCAGTCACATTCAGAACAACATTCTGTGCAGAGAGAGGTGTGTCAGAGCTGTACACTCTACTGGCTGATTGGGCTTGAGAAGACCTGGTGCTGTTCTTTATGCTATTGTCTTTATATCTGTCAAAGATAAGGTATACAACTGATTCGGTTATGAGTCTCAGGATGTATTTAGTGAAAGCAATACAGAAGTTTTCAATTTTGCCAGCCATCGGCCATGTTATAAACCAAAGGATGGCATACCCATCAACGACACGTACATTACAATTGTTTCCTCTTGAGGTCACCTCAATCTGTAACTTTTGTTTCAGTGTTGATTTTGAAGTTGTGATATTAATTTCTCCATTTTCATCAAATAGTGATAATGGAGGGAACATCATCTGGTCGAGCAAACATTAACATTAATGCAACCATAAATGAACACAAATTAAAAATCCCAAACTAGTTAGCTGCGCATGGTCTCTCTGGAAGTGATATGACATCTTGCATGCATGGAATTGGCAAGCTAACAGTCCTGAAGGTGTTAAATAGATACTCACTCACTAACTTGGGAGATGTCAATGCAGACATGACTGAAGTTGAGAAAACTCCAACAGAATTTGTTTCTAGATGTTATGGAATTACACCTAAAGTCACAGACAAAATGTCTGGTGTGAGATATGCTGTATGGGCAAAGAAAATGCTGCAAAACACATTACAAATGCACCAAAGCTAAAATCCCTCCCAACAACAACATAAGCATTTTCCCAGCATGTGAAGCGAGCTCATTTCCAAGTAACTATATGGAAAAATGCTGATATGCCTGACCCCCCACTTATCCTTCCAACAGATTGTGGTTGGGAAATTAACAGCACAGGCTCACTTGTCCCAACAACAATGCCCAAAGATACACCCTGTGCCCCTGAAGGAATTCTCCAGCTCATTAAGTGCACATGTGCATTAGAGGGCAATGTATGTAGAACTGGGCGATGTTCATGCTCCAAGGCATCTTTATCATGTACATTGTTCTGTGTTTGCAAGGGGAATGAATGCAATAACCAACATACAAAGACAGTAACTGAACAGGAATTGGAAGAAACTGATGAGGATTTATTGAGGGAAATCCTTGATGAAATCTTAGTAAAAGAAGATAACTCATAAATTCAAGATATATATAGCACCAAGAAATGACCCTTGTGGAACATCATTATTATTATGTACACGCCCGGTGATCGTACAAAATGGATGGAGGGGGGGATTAGGCGATTTCTGCAAGAAAACTCAACAAATTTGGAAGATTTATTTTTTCAAGAGAAAATCTACAACTGAATTGCCAAATGAATAGGCGCAGTGCATGGCAAAATATGTTAGCTCATCTAGTATTTTTTTTGAACTGATACCCTTCAAAGATATGAGATCTATTAAAAAAGGCGCATCATCACCAACGTGCAAAACTCAATGTTTTTGCTATAAATCGGGCAACAATGGTCTACACGACCTGTAATAAATAGGTATAAGGGACGTTATTATCACAATACTAATGACATTGCTCATTTTCTAAAGTTGGTTTCCATACGTTATGCAAAAAATAATCGAAATAAACCAATATTGGATGGAGGGGGGGATTGGATGGAGGGGGGGATCACGTATATGTAAGACATGATAAGACATGCTACTTGAATTTATTCTTATGACTCCAAATTTTCCCATTTTTCATTCTCCAGAGATATAATATCCAGTTTCCAGTTTGGGGTACTGAGTTTATTTTTTTCAAATACACGAGTTCTTGTGAATTTGTTCCATCGTAAAGACATATAAATCCCCCCCTCCATCCACTCCCCCCCTCCATCCAATATTAATTTATTTCGATTATTTTTTGTATAACGCATGGTAACTAACTTTAAAAAATGAGCAATGTCATTAGTATTGTGATAATAATGTCCCGTATACCTATTTATTACAGGTCGTGTAGACCATTGTTGCCCGATTTATAGCAAAAATATTGACTTTTGCACGTTGGTGATGATGCGCCTTTTTTAATAGATCTCATATCTTTGAAGGGTATCAGTTCAAAAAAAATACTAGATGACCTAACATATTTTGCCATGCACTGCGCCTATTCATTTGGCAATTCAGTTGTAAATTTTCTCTTGAAAAAATAAATCTTCCAAATTTGTTGAGTTTTCTTGCAGAAATCCCCTAATCCCCCCTCCATCCATTTTGTACGATCACCGGGCGTGATGTAGGTTACTTTTTACTCATTTCAGATATTCTATATGTGAGAAAGAGATCATAACCAGATGTATTTAGTATTATTTATTGATAATTTTGTAGGAAACACTAATATCAATTTGATATTTTCACAGAATGAGACATTTCATAAATTGTAAGGTTGGCGGCCATCTTGAATTTTTGTCAAGAAACATTTCTGGAACCTAACATATTGGTATACATCATATTAAAACTCTATTATAGAAAAAACAGCAAGATATGTTTATGTGTATGCTAGTTTTCTGTTCTAATATGCTGGCTAAAATACATAAAACGTGTGAAAATTCAAAATGGCCGCCAAAAAAATTCCTCAAGGATGCCCGTTGGGCATCCGACAGTTTCTGAATATGGATATCATGTTTAAACAGAAAATGCAAAAAAAGTTCATATAATAAGCATTTCCACCTCTATTGGCTCTACATCCAGACTAATTTGAGGGATTCATCTGAAATTTTCAGGGATGTTTCTACATATCAACGTCAAGAACTGATTAGTTTTTGGGCATTCTGGGTAAATCTTAAGGTGGCCATTTTGGATTTTCCGTCCTAAAATCTTCACTTTCAAGACTTGTCTACAGGTTTCCAGCCAAACCGTTCAAATTTTTACATATGTTACACAGTGATAAGTTCTAGAGCTGATTAACTTTTCTGCGGCCATCTTGCTTTCTTGGTCAACAAGACCACAATGCTGTGTTTTAGGTACGATATTGTTCACCTCTGTGTCTTGTTTTTATATTGTAGAGATCTGAACATGAAGACATCACTAAAGTTTACATACACTGCCATGCATGGCGTGGGATACAGCTTTGCACAAGAATCTTTTAAATCATTTGGATTTCAACCACTCATACCAGTTGAACTACAGGTATTATTTGCAAAGTATGTATGTACCGATGTACAGTAAAACCCTCCAAAACACCCCCCCCCCCCCCAGTAAGAAGGGTATACATCTCTGTAACATGATCACTTTTTAATGGGCCCAATATTTGTTTCTCCCATTGACTCTCATGTTAAACCTACCTCTCTAAATGAATATCTCAAAATTTTCATAAGACCCAAAAGTGTTACTTACTATTAGGATCATTTTATGTTTAGTTTTCATATTTAACCTACCTATCAAAATGTACACCCCAAAATTTTCTTATGTCCCAAAAGTGTTTCTCTCTTTTTTTACTATCTGGTAGGATAATTACTTGTGGAGTCTTGTTTAGTTTACACATGTGTGTCCACTGAAAGTCTTCAGACCACTTTGAGTCACAATAGGCAAAATATGGCTAGCTGCCAGTAACGAGTTGATTACCACTTTGCATGAAAATATCTACAGTTCTTTCCACTATTATGTTATTTTACATGTCTTGATTTCTGATATTTTGACTTAGAATTGTGTGTTCTGTTGAAAGATATGCATGTATTGTATATACCAATTGAAAGCTGTACCATAATTGTGAGCTGCATTTAATGTGTTTAGTGTGAATCAATTATTGGATGCTCTACTTTGTGTTTTGATTATCATTTGAAAATAATATTATTACATGTATTTCACCACCTGGAAGCTATATTAACATGTATCATATGTATTATTTAGAGACAATGCCTTATGTTGTAGGTGGTGCCAGATCCCGAGTTTCCAACAGTAAAATTTCCTAATCCTGAAGAGGGAAAGAGTGCATTGGTAAGTCCTTCAAAATAACTTTAATACATGTACTTTTTAAATCAAAGAAACATTGAGATTCCTGCAATTTTTCGTTATTTTGTCACATTACATATCAGCCACGATATGTTAAAAAGAAGTAACCTGGGGATGTCTGTTAAGACTCTCTATCAGAGTTTCCATCTCGGATAGTTTTCTTGAGACTACAGTACTTGGATGTATCTTTACTAATGAGTTGAATTTGTAAACATTCATCTAGTTTAGGCTCTGTCACTAAGGGTAGATAAGAGCAATAAAACAGGACATATTTTCTTGGTTGTAGGATCTTAGCATAAAGACAGCCAATGAGAATGACAGTACAGTGATTCTGGCAAATGATCCAGATGCTGACAGGTTGGCAGTTGCTGAAAAACTACCAAGGTACATATGTGAAATGCTTACAAATGTTTCATAGCTTTAATGTAAGGCACAACTGCTTGGACATTTCTAGTGTGAAATGATCAAAAAGAGTAATTGACGTATAACTAGGCATGATATATCCCATTCCAGCCAATCAGAACACAGTATTTAGATAAAATGCTCATTCTGTATTTCCCAACAGATGAATAGTTATCTTTTTATTCAGTGAAATTGATAATCCTCATCCATCAATTTCATGGGGTTTCTACCAATATGATATCATATATATTTTAAAGTTATATGAAATAATTTGGGTCCACCTTTTTTATAAACTTTTATCTCATGTTAAGCAGCATTACAAAGACAATATAACAGGGTTTTGTACATTAAATGTTATGCTAGGTTGCAGATTATGTGCTAAGAGCATCATACAAATTAAATACAATATCAGTGATCTCCACAGGATTTTTCTCAAGTGGGTGCAAAATTCTCATTTTCACAGTTCAGACCAATTTGGTCAAAATATGTATATTTTTCATGAATTTTCTCATTTTCAAGTGGGTGCAAATGGATTTTCAGGTGGGTGCAAGCCTATTTTCAAAATCTCAGTTAGGTGCTGCGCCCACTTGCTTTAATGCTGGAGAGATCACTGAATATTGTCCAAATTGATTTGATTTTTAGTGGAGACTGGCATGTGTTTACTGGGAATGAAGTAGGGGCTCTACTAGGCTGGTGGAGTTGGCATTCATTTCAATTGAAACATCCTGAAATCCCAGGTGAGAAAATAAAAATAAATACAATTTAAAAAGAAAAGAAGGAATAGTATTTTATTGTAGTCCCTAACTTTTTATGGAGGATGTTTGGCAGTTGGTGTTCACAGTTCACGTCCTGAGTTCGCTGTCTGTAACAAATGGTAGGTGGTGGCACTTTGCATGTCTTGGGAAGGCTTGTTGTTGAAACAAATTTGAATTTTGCAAAACACATAGCAAGAATCATACCAACACAGGCTCGTAGCCAGGGGGGGTTCGATGGTTCGAGCAAACCCCCCCCTGGCCAAAAATTCTTTTGAAATCAGGCAGTTTTTCATCATTCTGAACACTTTTTAAGTGATTTTGGCCATTTTTGGACCAAATTTTTTCAAAAGTGAACCCCCCTGGAACTTTTCAAAAAGTGAACCCCCCTTGGCAAATTCTGGCTACGGGCCTGCAACATAATATAAAGTATCTGTAATATTAAATGATTTATGTACATACAAAGTAACTATGTAAGTTGTAAGAATCTTTTGATTAGCACATCCTTTACCAGACAAAATTGATCTGAGTTGATTCTACCCAATGTTTTTATTATGATGTAGTCATCAATTTGAATCACTTCATTTAGCCTATGCTAACAGACATGAAATTTCAATTAAATGATAATGATACTTCAACTATTTTCTCACAGGAAGTGAAGTGTATATGCTAGCAAGTACAGTTTCATCAAAAATACTTAAAACCATTGCAACAAGCGAGAGATTTAATTTTGAGGAGACTCTCACAGGATTCAAATGGATGGGAAATAAGGCAGTTGATCTGATGAAAGAAGGGAAAAAAGTTCTGTTTGCATTTGAGGAGGCTATTGGTGAGTACATAGTTTGAACTTAGTAATTTTGATATGGTGTGTAGGCCTAGTAGAAATTAATTGATGATGGTCCTTTTTCCATATACATGTAGCTTTGAAATCTTGTTTTTAATGAGATTTTAGGAGATCTGCACTTTAAACCATAAAAGACTAACATTTTCTTCTATTTGATGCCATATTTGAATTCTATGTGTAATTTTCTATCAAAACAACTTTGATTTGCACTGTTATTTACCTTTATTCTAATGATTTTCTTGTATAAAAAAAGGTCGGGCTAAATTATTTCTTAAATCAAGAAATTAAGTGACTCTAGCGATATATTTACATGTATTCTAGCCCTTCCCTAGCCCTACCAATACCCATGATGCCATCTATTTTTCATTTATATGGAAAAAGGTCAATCGAGAAGGGCATTTCTCTTTGACAAATTAAAAAATGAGACCAAAGAAAGTGTTCACATTGAGGGATGATCGGATTAAAGAGGTGTTGGGATATACAGCTTTATCCTATGCCAAGTAGAGTTTTAGGGAGCTAAGTTGGTAAGATATATCCCGTATCCTGATTTTGAGGTTTCCATATCCTGAACCTCCATATCTCCCGCCATATCTCCCGCTCCAGGGCATATCTTCCCGCTTCGAAATTTATTTTTTTTTAATTGAAAAAAAGAAAAATGTGAAAAAAATTAAAAAAATAAAAATTTGAAAAAATAGAAAAAAATAGAAAAAATAGAAAAAAATTAGAAAAATGTGAAAAAAATAGAAAAAAAAAAAAAATAAATCGAAAGAAAATTAGAAAACTCTACTTGGTATAGTCTAAAGCAGTTATGTATGGTCGGTTTGGATATTGGGTTCATCCCTCGTGAGATATGCACATCTACCTACGGTCCCTCAGGTAGATATGCATATCTTCCTCTGGATAAACCCCATATCCAAAACCTCCCAGTACATAACCTTTATTTACCGTACTGTGGTATATACATGGACATGAATGGTAATATTTGCATCTCATAATCAACTTTGATCAGCTTAGATCAGAGGACAAATCACATATTTCAGGGGAGTCAGAATTTAAAAATGCTAATTAGTCTTAAAGAGTTATGTGTTTGGGAAGCTATCTTATGACCACAAAATATGAGAAATAGACATAATGCATTTTGCAGTTTTGCTTTTAACAGACTGCATATCTTCTAGGCTTTATGTGTGGTACAGAGGTTCTTGATAAAGATGGAGTTAGTGCATTGTCCGTCATAGCAGAGCTTGCAGTTTGGCTTGTAGAGAAAAACAGCACTCTGAAACAGCAACTTGATTCTATTTATCAAACGTAAGTTTTAAGCCACATTTTTCAAATTTTTTCAAAGTGTTATATATTGTCATTGTCTTATGCTGAAAAGCATTAGGGCATCTAGAAGGGCTGGCATAAATCATGGCAGGCCCGTAGCCAGGATTTGCCAAGGGGGTTCATTTTTTGAAAATTTCCAGGGGGGGTTCACTTTTGACAATTTGGTCCAAAAATGGTCAAAATCACTTTAAATGTGTTCAGAATGATGAATAACTGCATGATTTTGAAAGAATTTTTGGCCAGGGGGGTTCGCTCGAACCCATCGACCCCCCCCCTGACTACGGGCCTGGACATGTCGTCAATTTCAGTTAAACCTCTTATCTGTTCAACTTGAAATATTCACATGAGGCAAGAGCATACTTGTGCCAAGATTTGATCAGGTTTTGGGCATGCTGGGTAAATTATATTGTCAGGCCATTTTGAATTTTTGAATTTTTTTTATAAAGTGTGATATTTATCCCTGTATGACGTTCACCAATCACCGATCACCAAAATTTTGATCTGCAAGCCAGGAATTCCTAGGTCTAGTTCGGTTCTTTTTTATGAAAATCACACTGGCCCCAGTTTTGGCTCAAGTCGCTTAAAATGATGAAACGCTCGATTTTAAAACATCATCTTTATCATATTATTGCTCATTCCAGGTATGGTCTTCACATTTCCAACAATTCTTATTTCATCTGTCACCACCAACCAACTATAGATGGCATGTTCAACAGACTGCGGAACTTTGAAGGCACTAACACAGTAAGTTAATATAGCGAAATATAGCTGCAAATAAAGCTGTTCCACTTCTTTTTCCAAAGTTGATTCAATGAAAGGCTTGTTAATTAAACTGTCATCAAACATTCAAGTAGTTTTGCTTCGAGACTATGTACCTCCCCCCTCATGTGCTTCACATTCCCAATCCAACAAGATTTTGGATATTGGGAAGGTGAAGTACATGGGGGCATACAGAGGCAAGACTAACATTCTAGTTATATTCAGTTGACAGCTGCATTGGTACACAGCAGGATGAAACTAACTGGAGTTAGCATCATCCAAGATGGTGGACAACATTTTTCAATTTTATATCCATAGTCCTTCATTTTCAACTAAACCAAGTTAATCTGGATTCCAATTGTTTTGTCATGCTAACAAATACAAAGTAATATTTTCAAAAATGGGTGAACATTTAAGAAAACTAATTAGCTTTTGATGATAATGTGATTTGTTTCGATATTAATTGATCCACTCAGGAGGTGAATTCATACCACAGATGCTTTTGTCAATGTAAAAATTGTCAGCCAATAACAAAACAAAATAAATATAAAATCATTTCAAGTCATTTACACTATGTTTGTTATTTCAGTACCCCAAATCATGTGGCCCATTCAGTATTAAATATGTAAGGGACTTAACCACAGGCTTCGACAATGAGAGACCAGGAAATCAAGCAGTAAGTAGTATGAGATTTCTTCAAATGAATTATTCTCAACTGGGTTAGAAATTTCGACTTAATCTTTTCTACTTAGGTTTGTGCAAAATGTGGACTACATCCTTTACATTCTTTGTGTATCATTATGGTGACATAGTGTTATAGTCTCCGACTTTTTTATGGATGGTTTTTGGCGGTTGGTTTTCGGTGGTTGGTTTCTGTAACAAATGGTTGTGACACTTTGCATGTGTATCCCCTGTTTATTTTGTTTTTATTATATCGTACGCTTGATTTTGATTTTATTAATTTCCAGGTTCTTCCCACAAGCAAGTCTAGCCAAATGATAACATTTACTTTTGACAATGGTTGCATAGCAACAATGCGAACAAGTGGCACTGAACCAAAGATAAAGTATTACACAGAGATATGTGGGAAAACTGGTGCTAGGTAAATATCAATTCAATTGACTAATTGTATTTTCATATGTTTGCTCCTGATGTACGTATTGAGCGTTGGGAAATAAATGATTTATAAATCAGACCATAATGTTCAAAAGTGAAACGTAAAATATCCAATTCACTTGACTAAAAGTTGACTAAGAGAAGACTAAGAGATGACCAATAATTTCACTTGACTAAGTAGTAACTAAGGGTATTATCATGAGAAATAACATTTAAATGATTGAATAAATTGAATTGAAATTGAGTTGAATTGAAATGATTTTGGAAAAATATGTTTAACGATTTCTTTCTTATTTCAGCCGAGAGGATGTTACATCAGAATTGAACTCATTGGTTGATAATTTGATTGAACACTTCATGCAACCAAATGTCAATAAATTGATTGCAAGGAGTGGCTAAATTATCATGAAAATAATGAACGAATTGAATCTGTACACCCCCCTCCATAAGTTTAGCAACTGAAGTCCCCTTTAGGATTGCTTATCAAAGCTTGTTTATGTTTGGCGATTGAAAAGAATTTATCAAAATTGTCTCAAATTTCTGAACTTTTGTTATTAAGAAAGTAATTAATATTCAAACCTTCACAGGTTTTGGTATGTTATTCAATGAAAACTTCCAGTCGCTAAACCTTTGGAGGGGAGTGTATATTGGAATGCAGTGCATTACTAATAGATGTCACCCTAGTGGTGACTGTGAGGGTGACTGGGAAGGTGCAGTATACTGTTTTTATAACAAGGCAAAAATTCATTGTTAAACTTTTGGAGTGTAGTGTATATGGGAATGATATTGCATTACCGATAGATGTCACCCTAGTGGTGACAGTGAAGGCAAAAATCCATTGGGATTTGTTAAGGTTGTAACTGGCTTGCTAATGAAAAAAGCTCACATCTGAGCACACTTTCGCTTTGCATGCAGCACTGTTTAATGTAATGGTGATTTGATCAGGGATATTGTCCCCTCTCAAGGCAGAAAAGCATCAATGGACTGCAACAGAGATGAAAAATGGTATGAAAGGGGCTATGTAGTATGCAGCACAGTTGACATGTACTAAACATGATATTTTAGTAAATGCTACAGTATGTAGTATAGCACAACATGTAACATTAACAGTATTCACTGGGGTCATAATATTAAACATACATGTACTGTGTTCACGTGCAAGTTCTCTTTAAAACTGTGGCTTAACCTATTATTATATTATAGTATTATAGCTGATTTACAATGAAAGGCAATGGGTTTATTAGACATTTTTTATTTATGTATTTTTCATAGAAATTGCACAAATGAGCACCAAAGCAACACATATTTTTAATTCAAACATGACCGTGCTCTATTTGAATTTCTCAACCAATCAGAATGCAGCATAGCCAATATAGAACGTTCTCTAATTCTCCATAGATGCACGACCATGCTCTATTCAATCTGCAATTTGCATTGTTTTGAGTGACGTCATCTCAGCTGCACATCTGGGGCTCTGTCCAGGGATAGTTGTTCTTTTTTACTCCCTCCGTAACTACTGCAACTATTTTATCAACACCCCATGTTTCATACACCGTATAAAATCTAAAACGGGGAGTAAAATAGAACAGCCCAAACAAATTCTAAAATTTTTCCGGCCGACTTCAGAATCTTGATAGCATGCGTATTCTTCCTTCATGCCCGTTCCACAGACACGGCTTTTACTAATTTTTATGTTTGAATCGGAATAAATAATGATAGGCCATTCAATATGGTGAAATTCAGCACTCGTTGGACAGAATGTTAGTACAAATGCACTCACCGAATGGCCTATCATTATTTATTCCTTAAATAAACAACAAGGCCAAGAATTGCCATATATCGACAGTTATGGAATGTGCAATGGTAATGATATATTATGTAAGGAAAACAGGGATAATAGGTACAGAGGCGTAGCCAGCAATTGTCAAGCTCTGTCTTCGAGTGTAAAATACGTAAAATACGGAATATACCAATGAGGTATTGCTCGCCAAATATGGCTGTAACCAAGATATAATAAAAAAAGGGGGTGTGATTTCTTTGGGGTACAGGGTTCACCCCAGAAATTTTTAAAATCTACATTGTATATGCTAGATGGTGCATTTTGAGCATTTCAAAGTATAATTTGTTAATGTTTTTTAACAAATTTTACAAAATAAACACCCCGACATTTGAACTCGGAATCCTACAAATACTCGGACTTCAGCAAACATGAGGTTTGGGCAAATTAGGTTCAATTCTTATGCCGGGCATAAGAGTAGATCTGTTCTTATGCCGGGCATAAGAGTAGATCTGTTCTTATGCCCGGCATAAGAGCAGATCTGTTCTTATGCCGGGCATAAGAGAAGATCTGTTCTTATGCCCGGCATAAGAGTAGATCTGTTGTTATGCCGGGCATAAGAGTAGATCTGTTCTTATGCCGGGCATAAGAGTAGATCTGTTCTTATGCCGGGCATAAGAGCAGATCTGTTCTTATGCCGGGCATAAGAGAAGATCTGTTCTTATGCCCGGCATAAGAGTAGATCTGTTGTTATGCCGGGCATAAGAGTAGATATCTGTTCTTATGCCCGGCATAAGAGTAGATCTGTTCTTTTGTCGGCATAAATAGAACATCTGTACTTATGCTAAATGCAAAAGACAATGAGAGTAGATTTGTTCACTTCAAGTATACATGTCACAAATTTGTTACAAATATCATTATAACAGGAATGAAAATAGAGGGAAAGTTAATGGCCAACAAAGTTTATGTCAATTTTTTATCAGTATTGGTCATTACTTCAATGCTCTGATAGATTTTGTACACCAGCACAGCAGTAAATAACAAAGAAACATTGTATTTATTTATAATAGTTCATGTTATATTCAAATAATACTTCATGTATTTAATTTTATTAATATATTACTGTATAATACCAACTGCTGAAGTTATAAATTTATTTGGTGTTTGAATTTTTGGTCAAGTTGGTTTTGACTTGAATCCCAATAGTCTAGTATTATTTACTGTATCATAGGGTGTTTCAATTGTCATTTCAATACTCTGATGTAGTAGCCATCCTTAGCTCATAGTCATATGAATCATGAAGGATTTTAGGGTTTGGCTTTTTCATGTAAAATCCCTTGCCAATGGATTTTCGCTATCATAAATTGATTGGATGAGATGGAGTTATAGTCTTGTATCACAATGTATAAAGTTTCATTTGACTGATTACAGTTGTGTTATCATTCATAATCATAGTCAACAGTGTTTGTTGCGTCACTTTTTATTCTTCATCTGCTCTTACTGTTTCTTTGCCATTTAGAGCATAGTCACAGTTACTTGGGTTTCTTAATATCAGCATTGAATAATAAGGCTCTGATTCCATTACTGCATCATTTTGTCACAAATAGCCGAGAGGATAATCACTTCATGGACAGTGTGAGATGTGAAGATGAGACGCTTCTGGGGTACATTGTATTTTCATATATTCATTATCTTGGCTGGGTCTTCTAATCCACACATGTATTTTTATCAGGAACTTTGCAGGGCAAGTTAATTTAGCCTGGTTAAATAAGTCAACACAGTCAGTGTATGCTGTTCTTCTTAGCCACATTCACAATAGGCCTAGCTGATGGCGGAGTTCCAATGTCATTTTATTTGATTGTGTGGTAATGTCATGATTTGTACAGGTACTTGCACAACAGGGAACATCTTCAGCAAACACTGGAAAATAAGAAAAGTTCATTATATTGACATGATCACTCAAACCATACATTTACTCTTAAGGCATTCTCAAATATGTGATGTCAGATTATAAAAGTGATATTCACTCAGGTGGCAAAATTGTCAATATTTTTCTCATTTTCTTATCACAGTATATATCCAGGCCCCACATGATACTCATAAAAAGTAAGTTAAGTTCGAAAAATCCTTTGCTCATATTAAAGATGTTCTAAAACAAATATGTTGCAAAGATATCAACAAAAATATCCCCCTTTTTGTGGTCTAAACATATTTAGGATAAACTACGGGCCCGTAAGACACTTTTCTCCAACATGTCCAAGGGGGTGCGGTTTTTAATAAAGAGAAAATAAAATTGTCATTTTTTCCGCGTAACTCAAATCTCGTAAGTCAGGGGGGGGTCAGTTACTCTCTATATTAAGGCCACTCAGCCTATTTTGTAGTATTTTATTGTTTTCATATTGTTTTTAGACTAAATATTGTATGAGCAATTAGGAGAAACATTGGAATACTAGGGAGGGTGTGCTAGAAGGCAATAGAATCAATTTGAAGAAATTCAGATTTTTTAATAATTTTCTTTTTAGAGGAGCGAATGGGCAGCACAGGAAAATTTTACTAATTCAATCTGGTTAATTCTGAGCACTTTTAATGTGTTTGAGTAAATTAATGCTTTAGTTTTTGGGATGCGGTGTCAGAATTATTTATGTTTTCATTATGTCACTTGGTGATTTCTGAGCACTTTTAAAGTGTTTAATACTGTACGCCCGGTATTATTCGCGTGCGATTAACTTTCGCGCTTTTCGCGATGGTGTTAAAATCGCGAAAAATTATCGTCGCGAAATTGCTAATTAAATCCCCGGGAATTTGTTTTTACCCGGGGCTCTGATGCATTTCGTCAACTTCTGATCCCTCCATTCCTACATCTGTAAGAAGAACTACAAAATGCATCTCGTTTTGTGTAAAACGTTTCGTCTAGTGTTATTGGGCGATAATTGGATGATTTCCACAAACATGTCTATTTTACGTTGGCTAGTCAGGCCAACTACTACCAATGGGCCTAGGCTTAATAATGACATCGACGATATTAATTTATAGAAACTGAAGTTCAAATTACTAAAAATAACATGAAGTCCAAGCGTGGAACATATAAAGTGTACAACGACGCAGAAAGGGCAAACATAGCCCGGCACGCACTTCTGAACTTGTGAAATTAGCGAAATTTAATAGCCGCGAAACCGTGTTTTCGCAAAATTCGCGAAATTAAAGCTCGCGAATAATACCGGGCGTACAGTATTAGCAAATGCAACTTCAAAACATTCCCAATTGTTTTGTGGGGGAGGGGGTGTGAGTGTGCACTTTCAAAGTGTATTAATCAAAGGGTTGTCAAAGAGGATAAAAGGGTGAGGGTGATGGGTGCCCAACTCTCCTAGAAAATTTTACAATTTTAAGATGATATTTGGTGCTTTCTGAGCACTTTTAAAGTGTATGAGTCAATAAAAAAATGAACAACAATCACAATTTTTTCAAATCTTGGGGATGTCAAAGGGGGGTTGGGGTGCCAAAGCAGGAGGTAGGGTTTGGGTGCCAGAGGGGGAGCAAGTGTTTGTCCCCCATATCTGTCCCCAGAAACATTGACCATATAAAGGTGCTATTTGATGAAGTCTGGTCACCTAAATTGATTCTTGAGACAATACGTGAGATAAATTCAAAATTTTTGTCAATTGTTTTGTGGGGGAT